GGGGCTACACGCGCCGCTCCTGCCCGGCCCCGCCGGGGGCCCGCGGCGGCGGCGGCGGCGGCGGCGTGCGGCGCGCCGGCTGGACTGAGGGGATCCAGCTCGAGCAGGGCGGCGCTGTAGGCGGCCTCAGTGTCTTGCCGGGGGAGGGGTGGCTGGCAGTGGAGGGCGGCGAGCGCCTGCCGCACTGGCCGCAGCGGGGGGTAGTCAAATCCGAGATCGGGCATGGGCCTGCACCCGACAGAGGCGCGGCTGGCTACGGCCGTGGCCCGAGACGCCCACCGCGCGCCCATGCCGCTGAAGCCGTGGCTGTCGTGGCTGCCGGGCTGGCTGGGGGCGTCGGCGGTCGCGCTCTGCAGCACCCGAGCGGGACGGTGCAGTGTGTTGGCGAAAACCGAGAGCACCACAGCCCACCCCAGCAAGGTGATCAACATGAAGAAAACGACGCTTTGCGGTTGTCGACCTCTCGAAGGAGCCATTTTACGGTATCCAACGACGAACGATGAACGATCACACACGTGGTTGTTTTGGATGCTATGCAACGAGCCAAAATGATGCAGAAGGAAGAGTGTTCCAGCCTGGCTGTACGTGGCGTGGCACCGCCGCAATGTGGCAACAGCGCAGTGGCCGTCACAGCACTGTGGACTGTGCCAGGGTGACTCGGCTGTGATCGTCGCCACAACAGATAACATGACCAGAATTTTTCAGATAAGCATCATATGTTTTACGGGTTGACCGCCGCTGCTTCGAGGGGCATGGGGACATCCAGGCCAACCAAGTGCGTTGAGCACTTGAACATACAGTCCTGTACAACTAGATGATGGCCCCTGCGAATGACGCAGTTATCCATGCAGTGATGCATGCAGAATTCGGCACTTCTATCCAGCACGACTGCACCTTAGTGTGCCCGCTAGCCTGGCAAGCAGGCAGCCCCTGCAAGGCAATCGCTCCATTCCAAGTGCCTTCATCATGGTGAATGTGCTCAATCCCAGCCTGCAAGAGATCCAGTATTATCGTGTGGCCCCAGGAGGTTGAGGGCCCTTTTTGGTGAGGTGTCACTCTGCACACTTGGCGGTTGGGGCAGTTGCTTCCTGTCTTCAGCACCACATGTGCATGCGCTGCAATCATCAGGCAGGGGGAAGCATGTAGTCAGCCGAACACAAGCAAGCGCATGTGATGCAGAGCCGTCACGAAGGTGTGTGCGAACGCGCCGCGCGCTATGCTACTGCGAGAAGCTCAGCAGGCACTGCTCCTCAGACGCGCACTGAACGCAATGGATCTGTCGCACCCCCCATAAACTCGGCACTCTCAACGCAGCTGCACTTTTTCAGCCCACCCACGACACCATGAAGGTCCAGGCTCTCTTCAAGAAGGGTGGCGCGGCCAAGGCCGCGCCCAAGAAGGCCGCCAAGTCGGCCCCCAAGGTGCGTCATTCGCCAATGATGCTCTACTCATGCATCCACGACATGCTCCCGGGCAACTGCGGTACCCGACGGGGCAGGCGGACCCTTGTGCTTGGAGATGGGGCGGATGCCGGAGACTAGGGCCTGCTTGCGGCGGCATGGGCTCGATAACGGGAATACCACGTCAATCACTGCCTGTTGGCAATGCCGGGCTGCGAATGGGCGCGGTGGACGGCCCCGGGGTTCCGACCTCGAGCACGAGGCATGGAGATCCTCGCTGCCAGAGCATTACGCCGGCCTCTGCGAAATGCGGGCGCTGATCGAAAGCGGATCCCGCGCCTCGCGCTGCCATCGGCGCCCTAATCGGCGTGCACGCTGCTCGTGTGGCGCCGACGCTGCCGCACACTACCCCTCCCGCGCCCGCACGTCCGCGCAGCAGAAGGTCAGCTCGGGCACCCGCAAGGGCTGGTTGGGCGGCTTTGAGGAGAGCAACCTCTCCAAGTGGTACGGCCCCGACCGCGCCCTGTACCTGCCCGGCGGCCTGCTTGACCGCAGCGACCTGCCCGACTACCTGGACGGCAGCCTCGCTGGCGAGTGAGTTCCTGGGAAGCTTCTGGGGCGCACGGCCTGGCGCCATGGGGCCCCGCGCCCAGTGCGACTGTGGAGGGATCGGGTCCGGGGCTGCGCGAGCAGCGCGCGGCTGTCTGCCCTGCGCTGCAGTGACCGGGGCACATCTAGGCCTGGGTCAGGGGGCTGCGGGCCAGCTCGAGGAGCCTCACCTGACGCGCGCCGGCGCGCCTGCACCCGCCCGCCCCCAGCTCCCTCCAACCCACACGGGCCCTCCCCCGCACCCCACCCTCATTGCCGCGCCGCCCTGCAGCTACGGCTACGACCCCCTGGGCCTGGGCAAGGACGCCGAGCAGGTGGAGAAGTACCGCGTGAACGAGCTGCTGCACGCCCGCTGGGCGATGCTCGCCGCCGCTGGCATCCTCATCCCGGAGGCCCTCGAGGCCACCGGCTCCAACATCGTCGGCGGCACCTGGTTCGAGACCGGCTCCAAGATGCTCAACGGCGGCACCCTCAACTGGAGCGTCGCGCCCTTTGGCGTGATCTCCAACCCGCTGCCGCTCGCCGCGGTGGCCGTGATCAACGCCGGCCTGCTGGCGGCCGTTGAGCAGTACCGCGCCAAGGGCGAGGGCCCGGCCGGCTACTCGCCCGGCGTGGGCAAGTTCGACGCCGACATCTTCGCCGGCCTCGACCCCCTCTACCCCGGCGGCCCCTTCGACCCCCTGGTGAGGGGAGGCAGGGGGGGGGGGCGCGGCGAGATGAGGCCGGGCGGGGCAGGGCTATGTGGGCCCTGGTTGAGGGCGATCGCGACCACGGCGATGCAGTGCGATGCGATGTGCAGAAGTAGGTTTGAACAGAAATGCTCCCTCAGCCCCGCGCGTGGGGTCGTGCCTGGTGGTGGCACGCCACGCCGCCACGGCGCGAACTGCTTCACCGCTGGGTCCCCCGCCTTGGCTCACCACCCTCCTTCGTACCTATCCTTGCCCCGCCCAACCCCCAGGGCCTGGCCGACGACCCCGAGGTCTTCGCCGAGCTCAAGGTGAAGGAGATCAAGAACGGCCGCCTGGCCATGGTCTCCGTGCTGGCCTTCGCCATCCAGAGCGCGGTCACCAAGGAGGGCCCCTACGCCAACTGGAGCAAGCACGTGGCCGACCCCTTCGGCTACAACCTCACCACCGTGCTGGGCGCCGGCGAGGAGCGCGTGCCCACCCTCTAAGCTCGCGGCCGCGCGCGCCTCGTTTTTTGCCGGCCACCGTGGGCCGGGTCAAAGTGCAGCTGTCGTTTTGAGCGGTTTTTGAGAGTAACTTAGAGATCATATCCTTTTGGGCGCGGTCTAATGGAAGGCAGCAGTTGCATGACAATCCAATGGAAGGCAGCATGTTGTGGCTGGTCAACAGCCGCAGCATCAGTGAAAAGCAAGGTCAGGGCAAAGGCAGCATTCACCTCAGTGGCAGGCAAGGGGTAAGTTGCACAAGATGTCATGCGTTCAAAAGCATCAATGCAACGGGCACACTCAAAAGGCAGAACTTGCTTTCACAACTGTCAGCAAGCCGAACAAATCCAACTACACTGCATGGTCTCTCAGCAGTGCTGGATGAGAGAATGGAATTGCATCACAGCACACCTCAGCCCTAAGCCGCGAGCTCTCCCTCTGCAGACAGCTCTGCCGCGCGCTGCTCCCACCGCGGCGCCTCCTCGAAGCGCCACAGCCCCTGCTCCCGCGCGTACGCGATCAGCCCCTCGACTTCGGACTCTGGCGGCCGCGCACGCAGCTCCTCATAACTCACGTGGCCGAGCCTGGGGTAAGGGAGGGTGGAATGCGACATCAGTGAGCAGGGTGATGTGGGAGGTATCACAGCCACGCGGTCAGCTAGCAAGATGCAGCCCCCCCCCCCATGCAGCAACAGCACATGTGCGATGACGCACAATGCACAACGCCTTGTGCAGCATGCAACGCCTCGCATACGAGTTGGCACTGACAAGGTCTCACTGCACGCGCACCTGCACCCGTAATCGCATCCCTACCCGCACCCGCAGCCCCCGCGCACCTGCTGCGCCGCTCCCCCATCGCGAGCAGCGGGCTGGTGGCCGGCGCGAACTGGCCCATGACGTTCACAAACGTGTCGCGCCCCAGCTCCCCGGCCACCCAGGCCATGATCTGGCGCCCCTCCCCCAGCAGGCCGGGCATGACCAGGTGGCGCAGCAGCAGGCCGCGCTTGGCCAGGCCGTCGCCCTCGAAAACGAGGTCGCCGACCTGGCCGCAGGGGGTGCGTGCACAAGGCGTTGCAGCGCGTGGGGGCTCCCAGAGACGTCACATGTGAGTGCAGCCTGGCACACACCGCGCACGTTTGAAGTAGCCTGGGAAACAGCGTGGCCTGGTGTGCGCATGCGTGCGCATGCATCAAGGGGTGTGCAAGTATGGATGTAGGTGTGCGGCTTTGTGAGAAGAATCGAAGAACGAAAAGGACACGACCACCCACCTGCTTGTGCATTTCTTGGATGGCTTCCTTCGCGCGCTCTGGGTAATCGGCCGCCCTGCGGTGGCAGCGACGAGCATGCGCCGCAGCAGATGAGAGGTTTTCAGAACACAGCAGGGTCGCAGGCTTCTGGCAGCCTGCGCCCCGACTACATCACAAAGCAATACATGGACGTGCACACCTGGCGTACTTCTCGCTGCTCTCGGCAGTCCAGAACTTGAAGTCCGGCATGTAGATGTCAACCAGGCCTTCAAGCAGCCGGATTGATTCAACAGAGTCGTAGCCGCTGAGGGTGGGTTGGAGGATATGGGTCGGGCAATGCGGTGTCACACTGCCTTGCGTTTGCCCCTTTCTGGGCACCATGCTCACGGGGAGTGGGTGGCAGCCTTGTGCAGATGGGTGGCAGCCTTTGACCCCCACCTGCATCCACCATTGAACTAGACAATCATGCACCTTTGCATACACCTTGCGCAGCTGACACGGTCAACGCAGGCCAAGCAACTCTATTCGCACCAAATCTGGCGGCCCCTGAGCCCCAGCCATATGCATCTGTCTGCCCCTGCCGGCACGTCCGCAAGCTGCGACCCATGCAGGCGCAGGCGCGCCCTCAGCGCACCTGGTGTTGTATATGATGGGCAGCGACAGGCCGCGCTCCACCGCCAGGGCGAGGGCCTCCACCACCTGGGGCACCACGTGCTCTGGCGTGACCAGGTTGATGTTGTGAACCTGACCAGTTGGCACTCGCGCAGGCGAGAGTGGGCGCAGATCTTTGTGTGTACTTGTGTGTGTGAGTGTTTGTGAGAGAGAGAGAGAG